TTCCCTTTTAAATTTTCCAACAAACAAGTTTGAAAAAAAAGCAATTTTTCTTTTCCTTGTCTTTACACTGCATATTACAACGTGCACAATAGGCCTCCAATATAATTATTGAAATTTAAAGTAGGTCATGGGTTTATGTTTGTCCTTGGGGTTTTTGAAGGTGTTCCCCACATAATTCACAAGTGTTCTGAGAATCATGTCTCATCTTATCCTCCTCTGATATATGATTTCATGATACTGTCTTCTAAACTTTTTTTTATTCCATTCACCACTAACATTTAAAATGAAATGATTAACAGCATCCTCCCCCTTAAAAACTCTTTATAACACCTATTTCTCCTTTGCGATCAAATATAATATAACAATAGGCAATGGCTTTTATGACGAGACTCATTTTACCTGCCGAGAGTTGTATCTAATGCACATTCGAATCAAAATACACCGATATATTCGTTGGAATGCGTATGACTAAAATTTTCAAAGTGTACTGTTTTTCCCTTCCGGGGGAATACGAGAACCTGATTGATTTTACACCCAAATCTTCGTGGATATCTAACTCTTCCTGTGTATTCAACTTCATCAAACAACTATGACAGTGCTTCTTTACACCTTTTTCTGTCATTATCGTTCTAACATACCCGTCAAAATCTTTGATTAAAACCAAATGTCTTTCATTCAACAATAACGCGCACATAATGTCCTTATATTTCTTATTCCCTTAGGGACACATAGCCATAAATGCCCATCTTGATCCTTTCTTAATTGATAAAAAATATAATGACACTTATTTTTCCTTCTCTAATAAAACCTAACTTATCACGCGTAATGGGGAAAACATCTATAGAAGATTTTGCATGATTAAGACAACCTCTCTTAGTATTAACTGCTCTGCGAATATGATTCCATGGCATGTTCTTTTTATGACATTGATAGGCAGCAAAAGCACGCAGTACACATAACCCATCATTAATCTCTGGATTAAATACATATTTCTTCCCTCGCAGTTTCTCGGGATATGCCACATATGACCCCACTTCCACTCTGAATTCTACTTTAACATATTCGATACTGAAAGATTCGATTTGATCTATGATCCAGCCAGATCCTTCCTGATCTTGCAACTCTGTCTCGTATCTTTCTAATATCGTTCCCACCCATCGATCAAATACTTCAGAGATTTCCTCTTCACTTACTAACTCAAACGCTAAATTTATCACAAATTGTCCATTTTGATCATCACCCGATATGTTTTGACGTAATGTCCTTATAACTATAATTGGGTGGATTCTGAGCGACATTGCTAGAGGCGATCTATCATACATATCTCGCATCTGTTCTATAAAATAATCCCTATAAACATGTAAATACATTCTTAACTCTCTGTTATAAGATGAAGGAACACTATATTTCCTCACTGTATGTCTACCTCTAAAATTCTGGATATATGTAATAACTTCTGGGCTCTCATCTTCACTATTATGCGTGTCAGACACGTCATGCGAGGTAGTTGCTCTCTCATCATCATTAATGGGGGCAGAAGTACCCGCACCTCCGCATTGTGAGGTACCAACACTAGCACTCTCACCACCAAGCTGGGCAGTTTGATTCACAACACTACCAGGTGTATTTCCTGCAGAGGAAAAAAAGCACATCCAATTCATAACCCAAAAAATATTAAGATTTCAATGAACAGAGGAAAAACAAGCACATCCAATTCATAACCCAAAAAATATTAAGATTTCAATGAACAGAGGAAAAAAGCACATCCAATTCATAACCCAAAATATTAAGATTTCAATGAATAGAACAAAAAATCTTTTCTCGAGTGACTAGCACAACAAAAGATCACAATTGGTTACATACCTGTTTCTATAGCCTTCTTCCATAAAGCATCTACACGTGCCCACTCATTATCCAATTGCAATAACCTTTCATTGCGTTGTACACCGCCTTTCTCGATTACCAACGAACGCTGCTTTCTAATCGATAATCTTCTCTTCACCAATGCTTCCAAGTATTTCGAATATATGCTATCCCCGTTAAGAATTTCATTATTAACGCACAAAACCCAGTAAACATTTCCTCGATGTTTCAACAAAAATTAAACATGTAAAAAAAAAAAAATTTTTTAAACAATCCCTCTTCACCAATTCATTTTTTTTTAACCCATTAAAAATTTCACTTTTTAAACGCATAACCCAAAAATTTCACTCGTAGCTTAAACAAAAATTAACCCAAAATTTCACTGTATGTTTTCAACAAAAATTAACCCAAATTTAAAAGTATGCTCAACAAAAATTAACCCAAATTTCACTCTTTGTTTCAAAAAAAATTAAAAATTAAAAAACAAGAATTTCTAAGTACAACTTATTTCTCCATTTGTGGGGTTTCACGTTGGAAGATGAGGTCCTTTAACTTAATAAGGAATACTGGGGGGGGGGGGGAAGAGAGGTCAGTCAGGGATATGGATGGAAGCACTGTCCTCGCTCTGAGTGTCTCATTGAGCTTATATACCCCCCCCCCCCAACAGATGGGGTAATGTTTCACACCAAAGGGGTAGTTTTTAAGTAATCATGAACACCGGGGGTCAACACAGGTCGACAACAGCTGTTGGCTTCGCTTTGGGAAGAGAGGTCCTTTAATTTAAAGAGGGGGAAGGGTTTTTTTTTCATTTAACTTAATGAAGGAAGGTTTTATTTTCTTTTTTAAAAAATAGGGGAAGATGAGCTCAGTCCGGATAAAGCACTGTCCTCGCTCTGAAGACCATTGGGGGTCACCCCAACACGGGTGTAATGCGTTTTCACACCAAAGGGGAATTAAGATAATCATAAACACCGGATAAACTCAGGACAGACAGGCGCCATGAATGCGCTTCACACCAAAAGGAGAACATAACCCACGTCAACTCAGGACAGCAGGCGCATGAAATGCGGGTAAACCAAGATGGGAATTTAAAATCCCGTATACCCTTACTGAAACACCTAGGTCAATGCCCCCTAAAGCAACAAATTTTGGGTGGGGCAATCCTGCCCCACTTTAAAACTTTTTCCTCTTTTTTAACCCCTAAAATTTTTTAATATCTTGAAACCCATTAAGACTTAAGTGTACAAGACCCTCTCTTGGAAAACCCTTTTATTTTCATTAACTTAAAAGAGAGGAAAAGCTTTTAGATCTTTTAAAATAATAAGGGGAAGATGTTGAACTTGTAAAACATACACATCTGGACGTTGATTATTTCGTTATCCTTAAAGGGTTACATTCCCGGTTTTTCGAATGGGCAAATCTTTTTTCACATAAAAATTAAAAAAATTTATACCACGAAAAAAATTCATAACATTAAAAATATGTGGGGTGACATCACCCCCCTTGAACAAGTTTCAGAGATAACTCATAAATTTACATTAAGTAACGAATTTCGCCCGCGAATGTCTTTGGGCACCCTGATGAAAAATACAATAATTATTGTGAGATTAAATTTTAAAAGCAGGAAACAGTGAAATTATTCTCAATGTTTTACAAAAGGTAACATCATAAATAACAATTCGTTTTATCAAATATATTCACGAGGGCGTATATCGTCCCTGGCGTTAAACGCCACGCATTTTGTTTTAAAATTTAAAAGGGATTGGACAGTAGGTTTTGGGGGCACAAGTGTTGGGAAAAAAAAAGGGAATTTGAAATATTATAAACTGCTATAAAAACGGCACCCTTTTGGGTTATTAATTCTAGACCTTGCTTAAATAAAAACCGAAGCATTAATTGCGAACCAATTTTTTTACGGCAGGATTCCACGAAATTGAAACCCGGGGGAGGAGCAAAATTAATTGAAAAGGTTTATAGAGATCCTGGTTGCGGGTCTTTCCCGGGGTGTAAACTTTTTTAAATTTAAAGCTGTAAAAAGATCGTCCGCCCAAAAACCTTGAAAGAGGTCAAAATTTCTTAAATTCAAAAAGTCATATACTTTATACGTTTTTAAAACCCTAAAAATTTTTCCTCGTGGGAAAATAATTGCTCCAAAAACCCCCGAGTGAAATTTAACCTGTGTTTTGGGGTGATATTAAAATTTTAATCCAAATAAAATGGATAAAAAATACATTCTCGGTGTATCGATGTTTTTTAAAGATTTTAAACTATCAAAAAAAAGAAAAAGGACCGGCACTTTAATGCAACAAAAACATATTGGAGAATGAAAGGCAAAAGAATATATGGGAATTATTTTACAGTAAAGGGGGGGATTTTTCTAAATAAACAGGTCAAATTATCCCCAGAGAAGCATATAAAGTTTATCATGTATTTTCGAAAAAAACCCAAAGCTCCTTGCAAAGAGGCTTGCAAACGATGAAAGAAATTATACAATATTGACAAGTCCCAAATACTTTAATTTTTAAAAAGTTTAAAATGAATTAGTGGATGCGTATAATTCATCCCGCACTGGGGGTTGGGGTAAAACCCCCTTTGCATCCAGGTATTTACGTCATTGAATGATAAAAGGAATCATTTTCGGAAAAATTATAAAAATGGAAGATCAAAAAAAAAACAAAATCAGTAAAAAAAAAAAATTGGCTTTGGGACCAACAAGAGGGACTTTTAAGATATCCCCGTTTTAAACCGAGGGTTTCACACACAAAATACGGGAAATTTTTAAAATTATAAAATTTAAATAATTCCAACCATAACAACTAAAATTTGAAAGATTTAAAAGGGTAAAAGATTAAGAATATTTTATCGCGAAAATTGACCCCAGTCAACCACCTCCAAATATTTATCGCAGGTATTAAAAACGAAAAAAAATTGTGGAATTACGATTATTTGGTATCTTATAAGGTTATGATTCCACTTTTAATTCGTGGGTAAAAAAAAGGGGAATTTGTTAAGGGTACAATTGAAAAAATATTATTAAAAAATTTAAAAAATTTAATTACATTATTTTAATTCTCCCACGCAATCACGGAAGGTTAAATTTAAACTTTTAAAAAAACGCACTAAGTTGTACCAGTGAGTTTTTTTTCAAGAATTTGATTAAAAAAAAAAATCCATTAGCCCCCTAAAATATTTAAAAAGTACAAAAAACGAGTTTAAAATCTTTAGCTTGTAAGAAAAATGGGTTTTTCAGCGTAAAAAAGAAATATTGCTGGTATCGGGTGGAAACTTCTTGCTTTATTTTTCCCTTTACAGTAAATTTATTCGAATTTTTTTAAATAAATCATGAAAGAATTTATCTTGTACCAACTTCAGTTATAAAGGGAAACCTTCGAGTTGTAAAATCGGGGGTGAGAAATTTAAAGGGGGGGGTGGGGGGCATGCTTGAAGCGTGGTGTAAACGCAAGTTTAAGACTACCCCCGAAGGCGTCAACCCACCTGCTCTCCCCCCGGGTGAAACCTCAAAAAAACCCCGTTTTTGTAAAGATTCAGCACTAGAGTGGTGGAAAATAAAAATGTAAATAAATTTTTGGTATTTTGCAAAAAAATCCTTTGGGTTGATGGGAGGGAAATGGGCCCTTCTTCCCCCCCATTCTGGACGTAAATATTGAAAATTTTAAATTTTTTTATCAGAAAATAAGGGAAAATCACGAGAAGAATCGATTCTGATTACTTAAAAGAAATAAACTTTATTAAATAATCGGTTACATTTTGTTTGGAGGAATAAAAAAGTGGAAAAAACAATTTTTACAAAAGGGGGCCCGGTTAAAAAAGAGAAAACATCGGGGATAACATATTAGGTGAGTATAAAAATTCTGTCAAGTTATTTTTTATTTAGTGGTTTTTTATAAAAGGTAGGATTGAACGTCTTCTATACGTGTGTAGCGAAAAAAGTCTCGATTTTTTTCCCGCCAAACACCTTGGCTTTCATTAAAAATTAATGACCCCTTTATATTAAAAAAAAAATTTGATTTAGGTTGCTCTGAAAAAAAAAATTTACCCCCGACGGCATTATATACCGCAAAAGAATTTGAAGATAGTTTCATATGAGAAATCTACATAAAAAAATTTTGGGCAAAAAATTATATGAGCAAAATTTTTGGGGGTGAAGGGCAAGGATTTTAGAGGGCAAAAATAGGAATTAATGCAAATCTCTTAATAGCATTTTAAAAACAACGGGTATTATCTCCCCCAAAAACCAATTGTGTTCACATATCATCCAGGAATAAACAGTGGTTTTAATTTTAAAAAAAAAAATTATAAACCTTTTATTTTTTACCAGTGCTTTTTGGGGGTTTTGGAATTTGTAAAAAAGGGAAACGATAGCGGGGTTCTTGGTAATAAAATTTTTTGTATGTCTTTACCAAAAAAAGGAAATTTTTAAGTTTTGGTGTAAAGGGCGGAAAACCCCCCGTTTCCTAATCAGGTATTTTTATTGTTAATATATAGCGATTGATTGATCCCTTTAAATTTTTTGGCGTTTTGGTATCTCTTTTGGAGTGTTGATATTAATACATTAAATTTTAGACCCCCACAATGTAAAAACCACTTAATAAAAAAAAAATTGATCAAGTGGTAAACTCCTGATCGAAAGGAGGGAATTCAAATAATGTAAATGTTTTTACTGTATTTTTAAAACATTTAAGACCCATAAAAAAAGAGAGGAATGATCAAGTTGAGTTTAATAGAACGAACCCCTCAAGATGGAACCATTTCTCCCTCCTTCGGGAAACATTCCTGAAACTCTTTTATACTTCGAGGGTGAAAGGGGGGTTTAAGATGATATTAAATTTAAAACTAGAGGGGGGGGGGAGATTTATTGTCATTTTTGGTGGGTGGCCAAAAAGCATTACCATTTTTATTGAATCCTTTTCTCCGGGGGTATTACAAAAAGGGCAAATGTGTTTTAAAAGAGTTAATAAGGTTTGCATTTAAAAATTCTGCGAGAAAAAAGGCGTAGAAAATTGAAGGGGGTTCGGCAAAAATTTTATCCGGGGGAAGTGAAAAGTTGGGGTTTTAAACGATTAAATTTAATAATAAAAGAAAATGGAATATTTAATTAATTTTTGTTTATTGTTAAATGTCCCATTCGGGTTTGTATGTCGGCTGGTGCCTATCGTTCACCAGGGGGGCTCAACGCCCCGTCCCCCTTATTCCATTCA